GTCCCATGGAACATGCCACTGACTTCCATATTTTCTGATGGTTGACTCTGTTTCAAAGAAACCTTGGCTTGTATAAATTGGATGCGGTGGAGTGTCACGCCACCTTTTGAAGTAAAATGACAACTCAGCAAGCGAATAGTAAGTGCAGACGCTAGCAATTTGCTCCAGTGATAAGGGTGATGTGGTCTTCAAGAGCATGACCGATCGCTGGTGTCTAATGTGCTGACAGAGCGATGATGCCACAGAAAAATTACAGTGACGGAGGCTCAGGAAGTTTGCTAACAGAGAAATGTACTTTCTGATCTAATTACACGCACTTTTTGATATTTACTCTAGCCAGTGTAAGGGGAACCAATGTAAGAATGGAAAAATGACTGATACAAAAGTATTTTCGTTGGGTCGTACACGTACCACCCCCTCACTGTGTACTACTCTCAGCTCCTATCAAAAAACTTTTCGTCAGCCCTATCTCCAACTAATGCAATAACAGGAATACGTCTTGTAAAATAGGTCGGCCTCATGGTTAGTTCCAAGACGAACTATCTGTGGCATGTCCTTCATTCACTCAAAACCGTTTAGCCTCTGCACATTTAACATTGCTGACTAAATCATCCCCGCTTAATAAAATAAATAAATCTTTCCCGTTCTTAAAGGCAGCGTCCGCGATCAACCAAAGTGAAAAACCCTCCAATGAAAACGAACGCGGAGTACGCAACCACAGCGGAAATCCCACTCTTGCGGCTCGAAATCGATTGGTTGACGAGGGCGCGGAGTCAACACAACGGCTGAGCTGACGCCTCCTTTCCTGTTAATCCCGCCCCGACTGGTTAACAGTTATCATGCTTGCTGGCATTGATAAACGCTAAGTTTCTGGAGTTCCGAGGCCGCGACGTGTATTGGAGAACTCAACAAAGGTCTGCGAAACTCGTCCACATGCCTTAAATTTCGTAGGGTCTTATTTCACGCTCTTCCACACCTTTTTCCTACTTTTTTGATTAGTGCTTCAACTGGCCACCTGTTCTAACAAATTTGACCCCTGAGACCTGCCAAAGTCCATCGCGGGCGCTGTCTTTAAGCCAAAAGAGCCGAATGCATTCTGCTAGCCACCATCCAACAACTGGAATGCGAAAAAAAGGCTGGTATATTACATTTATCGAGAGCTTAATTGCGTGCCTTCAGGGTTCGTTTATAGCCAAGGAAGTTTCTATAGTTTTTCTCCCTTCAGAGTAAACGCCTTTCAACCGCAGATAACGATTAGGGCGGTGCATGTTTGACGGGGGAGGCAATTATGTAGTTAGCAAGGGATAATTCTGAATTTCTCGCAGAAAAGGCCGGTGCATTGGAAAAAGGTAGAAAAGCCAAATCTCGATAGCCAGAGACTTCATCGAAAAGGCATTGATTCTTTCAAGCACTGATGACCACTGCGAGGGAAAAACAGTAGCAGCCGATCCGTAGGAAAGAGCAAAACTCAGGGACGCTTCCATGTGCAGTCTGGTGGTTTCTGAAACGTATTAACACGAAACATCCAACCTCTTCGTTTACAAACCTGGCTTACACAAAGGGATTCCTGCGGCTAGAGAGCGAAGCTTCAGTGGAGATATCAACTGGATTACTGTTCAGACGGCGCGAGCCATAAAAATCAAATATGGCAAGGATATCATGACTGCTCTGGACAAGAAATTCAGTGGTGATCTGGAAAAGACTGTTTTCGCTCTCATGGAGACACCACTTGAATACGATCTCAAGCAGCTCAAACAGGCCATGAAGGTAAGAGCCACAGAAGCTGCGTCTAAAAACAATATTTTCGTTCAGGGCCTTGGCACTGATGAGGCGGTGTTGATCGAAATTCTCTGCTCTCGAACAACTGAGCAGATTAGTGCTATTCGTGTGGCGTACGAGAGGGAATTCAAGAAGCCGTTGGAGCAGGAGGTACAATTTCTTCCTCATACGTGTAACTCCTTCGGAGCGGGAAGCTTCAAAAGTCAGCTCAATTGCAAAAAAGAGGCACATTCATGACATTAGGATCAAAAAATGTCTGACTGACCATGAGACGTTTTAAAAGGTAGCGTTAGCGAGGGTTCAACAAGGGATCTTATCGAAGCATTTCATGTTCTGATTGCATTTACAAAGGTCTCTATTGCAGATTAGGGTTCTACAGCGGCTCAAACTTTGAAAGCATTGCAGGTTGCATCCGAGACATCTGGAGAGTTCAAGGATCTGCTGTGCGCTATCATCACTGGAAGCCGAGACCCCGGCCACGATACCAACGACCAAATGGCTAAGGATGTAAGACTTTTCACTGCCTGCTCACCTGAATTCCCAGTGACAATACCATCTATGTTTAGGACGCTATTCGTCTTTATGCAGATGGCAAAGGAAAGCTCAGTGGCAAAGATGCCCCGTCCCACTTTTTCACCATTCTAGCCTCGCAGAACCAGTATCAGTTGAGAAAAGTAAGTCAAAGCACACTCTTTGCTAAATAGAGCCGATTTCACAGGATATTTTAGATCTTCGCTGCTTTTGCTGATTTGTCTGGATCATCGATTGAGAAGATGATTGAGAAGGAGTTCAGCGGCGACCTACAGAAAAGCTACTTAACCATTGTACGAGCTGCTACTGATAAGCAGAAGTTCTTCGCCACTCAGCTGTACCACTCAATGAAGGTAAAACCGTGTTTCAGTCCAGTTCATGGTTGCTATGGGCCCAATCGAAACTTTTGCTACTTTTTTGAAGGGTCTGGGAACTCGTGACAACGATCTGATCCGTGTGCTCGTCTCTCGTTCGGAAGTTGATTTGCAACTGATCAAGGAGGAGTTCCATGCTCTTTACAACAAATCTCTTGAAGATATGATCAAGGTGACTTTTCAGAATAGATTAGCAGTTGTAGTTCAGTACTTGGCACTTTGGGGCACACAAGCTTAGCGCTGGACGCGTTGAGAGAGGGAGTGCGGTCACTTGCACAGTCACGCCCTTCCCGCGGAGAGAAGGGGTGTACCAATAAGAAAAACGCCATAAACCAGACTCTAGCCTCTTGATCCTGATCCTTGGCCATGTATAAGGACAAACTGTTCACCCAACTCCGTTGATCCTGGTCCTTGGCCATGTGTGAGAGCCAAACTCCTTGATCGTGGTTTCTTGGCCATGTGTGAGAAGGATGGGATCACAGCTGTGGAAGTGTGCCACTTTCTGCAGTCATAGTGCTTGGAAAAGGGCCTGGAGGGAAGAGATACGCAGGTGGGTATCTCCTTGCTGTCAAAGGCCGTCCTCGGAACTGAGCGTACAGATTGTCTTTATGCGATTTCCGCTGCTGAGACGGAGCTGGTATTGTCGCGAGGACGAAAGCTACTGCACTTTAGCGCAGTGGACGTTGTTAATGGCCTTACACTTGACGAGCACAAAAAGACGCTGAACTTCAGCAGCAGTGCCTGAAACCTCACTATTTGTCCATGGTGCTCGAAGCTCTTTATTTCATCTACGCTGCTGAATTTTAGGGTGACACCTCCGGGGCATACCGCGATGCTCTGCTGGCTATCGTCATCGGAAACCGCACGTGAGCGTCATCAACCACTTCGTTCTAGAAGTCACATTCCTTTTTCTTGTGAAGCATTGTCGTAATTTTTGTTGTCATTTCACTGCATGTAACACATCTATCTCGCTTTTCTATAAATATTACATTTGTAAAAGGAGCACAACGCATGTCGATACTTGTCAGTGCGGGCTGTTAAGCGCCGCTTTCATCTGTAGTTAATACTCAGCACCTCTCTAGACAGCAAGGCAATTCCGTGTCAAGCACGATTTGTGCATCTGCCTTCATAAATTTACGAAAAAAGCTAGATAATAAGCCGAAAGGTCGGCACATTCATAAAAGTGAAGGGAAGTCTAGGGCGCGAAGTATACAAGTAATCAGTATATTTTTTCAATACCACACCCTGTTTGGTATAAACCAAGTCAACTGCAGTGAAACAGAAAGCTCATGTACATTTGATGTCTTGAATCAGCGTAACAACATGTTGCCCTACTTTACTACATGCGTTAGACCTCCTAGAAAACGTGTACATTCCACTTTTCAAGTCGCTAATTGACGCCTTATGTTGCGCCACACAGCTGTGCAGTTCTATACCAGCTTAGCTTCACATCAATTCCATTCCTATTCACTCGCTTATCTAACGTCTGATCCCACTGGAATGCATTCACAAAAGGTAGCGCTCGCCGCAGCCCTGCCTCGTTTTGGCCGCTTACATTTTCGCCAAAGGTGCATTGCTTGGCGTTCATATTTCAGCATACCAAGATGGGCGTAACAGAAGCATCCAGCAAAACCCTCCTTGTTTTGAGAAAAAAAACCTAAAAGAAGGAGATGAGTAGATAAGAATGGTTGTGGTTCAATAGCAATAGCCGGCCAGCTCAAACGGCCATTAAACTGTTAGAGTTGGTCCCTTGAGTACGCATTCGACTGCTTGTCTACTGTGTGCTTTGGAAGCGAACAATTTGCTGAATTTTATTTTTACCAGTCGGCATCTCCAGCTCGTTCGCCGGGCGCTCCTCCTTCTGTGACATGGCCCAGGCTTCGCCGGGCCATGCGGATTTGCCACGTGCTAAGTTACGGATCGTTGACCAACCACACTGTTCAAAGGAATCTCCTGCATCAGCCAACAACTGAAAAGCAGCGCTCGTTCCGTCAAGACGCAGAAGCAGCAGCAGCGCCTCCCCTCTCCCGGCATCACAGAGGAGTGGGGAGCCAGCCTTAGCCAGCGATCCGATTGGTACGTTCATAACCTACTGGAATAATGGAGCTTGTTAGGTTAGCTGCTGAAGCAGCCTATGATTCATGCATTCTGTCGCCTTAAAGCGTATTGCTTTGGAATGCACTCCCGCATTCAGCAGTGGAACGCGTTAAATGGCCCTCACTAAGGTTGTTGATGGAAGATAATTGTGGTAAGCGTGATTAAGTGAATTGATGCTGTTCATAACATCTCTGTAAACAAACCCATGCATTTGGAATAGAGCTAGCTTACCGGTCGTACATGATGTCGTTACTAATAAGCAGCGAGGAATGAGTTCTGTTGGAATCATTGAGATCGTTATACTTGAGTCATATCGATCGCATTGTTGTTGTGAGCGGTGAAGCGGATTTTCCCATGTTACCTTGTCACTTTTAGCTCCTATCACTTCCGTACCCGCCAATAACACTCCCGTCCCGTATCACTATCATATCACTCCTGTATCGCCTCTCGGATCCGAGGTCCCACTGTTGCTGTAACCTGCGTTACGAATTTGATGACCCTCCCTTCCGAAGCCGCTTATCGTATCTTATCTACTGTTATCACTTTCTGTCACCCGCCAATATGTTCCCGTCCCACACCCTATATCACCTCACGTATCTGAGGTCCCCACTGTTGCTGTAACCTGCGTTACGAATTTGATGACCCTTCCCTTCCGAAGCCGCTTATCGTATCTTATCAACTGTTATCACTTTCTGTCACCCGCCAATATGTTCCCGTCCCACACCCTATATCACCTCACGTATCTGAGGTCCCCACTGTTGCTGTAACCTGCGATACGAATTTGATGACCCTTCCGTTCCGAGGCTGCTTATCGTATCTTATCAACTGTTATCACTTTCTGTCGCCCGCCAATGATGTTCCCGTCCCACACCCTATATCACCTCTCGGATCCAAGGACCCACTGTTCCTGTGAGCCGCACTGTGAATTTGGTAGTCCTTCCCTTCTAATGCCCATTATCAGATCTTATCAGCTGATATCACATCCTGTCACCTACCAATAATGTTTTCGTCCCACCCCTATTTCACTGCTCGGAACCAACGTCCCACTGCTGCTGTCACCCGCGTTATGAATATGGTGACCTCCCCTTCTAACGCCTCTTATCGTATCTTATCAGCTGATATCACTTCCTGTCACCCACCAATTGTGTTCCCGTCACACCGCCTACATCACTTCTTGAAATCAATGTCTCACTGTTACTGGGACCGGCGCTATGAATTTCGTGACACACAGACAGACGCACACACAAACATACACACACACACACACACTTACAGACATACTTAGCGGATTATATAGAGTAGGATTTTTTTCCCAAAGTGGGCGAGGTGTGGTGTGAAGACGATTACCAAGTGCTGAGGGTGGGAAGGCGATGAAGAGTAGGACGCAAGCCGCGGTAGAAAGGGAATGGTAGAGAGCTGGCTCCATCTGACACCCACTCTCTTATATACCATGTGGCAACCTCCCCCTCACCCTCTATCTTGCCTGAGGGGCGCACAAAAACCCCATATTGCCCAAGGGGGGCGCGAAATACAGATCTCGACGGGGAATCGTCTGGTCTACCAATGGGACTCGATCTACCTGTCATAATGGCAAAGTCTTCATAGCCTTCTCATCTTCAAAATAATTGAGCATTCACTGATAAATTGGAAGCACAACATCTTTAAGAACAATACGTAAACAAAAGCTTCAATTGTATCCGTCTAAGACTTGTGAGGATAAATTCAAACGTAGCAGTATTAGAAATGAAGTGCTAAGGTTCTTGAAAATTTATATGTGCGATAACAGCTACAGAAGTTTCGACATCTTCGCAAAGATGAATCATCAGCAGGCTCTAATATCGCATAATCGTAAAACAACATCGAATCATGGAGATACACACTGTACACGTACAAAGAGAGAGTTGAGGCCGAATCAGTAAAAATATTGGAGATAGTGGGTTCATGGAGCAGTGCTCGCTCTCTAATACCTCGTTTTGGCGCGGAAACATGCCGCCAATGATTTTGTCTGGACGATCTACGGAAGAGAGGTCGTGGACACTCTCTTTATTGGCTAGTGCGTCGTCCTGAAGCTTTTTGCTCATGCTGCTGATCGTACATCTTCGATACAGAAAAAGGGGCCTGGACTATTTATTGAACGTTCTGTGTCGATGTGGCGTACCTTGTGTCAGAGCGCGTTCAGACTTCGCGATCGTGCGATTGGATCGTGCGATCGGATCGCTCGACTCCAAGAGCGCTATTGGGATGGGTGAAATTCAGCGGGGGGAGGGGCGTTCATGTTTCACGGATATCGACCGAAGTCGTCCAAAGAGTTTCTCTGTTTGAAATAGTCTTTTTCAGAGTTGTTCGCATCACATGTTAGTATAGCTGTTTTACTGAATGAGTGCTATATTATTAGAATAATCAAACGAATTCACAACCATGTAATGGGTTATAGACGTGAAATGAAGTTGTTTGTGTTCGAGCGCATGTAATTTGGTGTTTTTTGTACCGTTCTGAGGAAAGCTGGGTCAGTGAGAAACGGCTGAGTATCCGTAAATCATCAGTGGAATGCAATGTTAGTTGCTGGTGTTATGGCTTTATGGTGGCTTATGTTTCGAGTAATCGCGTGGAAACTGAGCCTTGCCCGCGCTGAATTTGACGCATGCAATAGCGCGTTATGGATGGGCGATCGGGCGATGCTGGTTCAAGTTATATATATGTTTATATAATTCGCCTGATTAGTGAGAGGTGGTCGGCTCTGGGGTTTTGTTAGACATTCGGTTGTATAGTCACGATGATTTAGGAGGTATGGTTTTCAAAGCTTAAAAGTCCCCCAGAGATCGAGGTACTTTTCGACCTGTCCCATATTATGAGTTCCTGTAGGGCCACTTCGCCGTAGTCAAAGGGCAAAGCTGAGCAACTCCGTGTTGTTCATTGGCCAGGAGGATGTCGCTTGGCCATAGGCAGGAGGGTAGGCTGCATCAGAGCTTCTTAAGCTGGATTGGATTTGATCGTAGTTAGCGGCCAAATGTATAGGTCGCCTCTCAGCAAGAAGCAGGCCTTACTCAATTAGGTATTAACAACGTAAAAGGCGTCAGGCTTCGTATAGAGGCGACCAGAACCGAAGTTTATGAGCAAACAGTTCAGTATGGCGCCGTGTGTAAAGCCTCGATCTGATTTGAGGACTCGGCACATGGTTATTCGCAGTTCTCCGCTATATGAAGGAAAATTTTATGTGAGGATGGGCTATGAGTTGGCCGGGGTGCTGAAAGTCATAAGACCGAATGACGTGACTGGGTTTCGTTTATCTGGTACCAGGTAGGGAATTTTGTGAAAGTCGTTGTTTTGTTTGGTAGCGAGTTAGCATGGGAGTCTTGCGTAGCAGTTATGTATGCACATGTCCCTTGCAGGATCTCTCAAACAGAAAAGTAGATTGCTTAGCCAAAAGAAGATGTGCATGGGATAAAGATTTCAGTGTGTTATTGGTGGGACTTCAAAGCGGTATCACTGGATACCAGCACCGTTGTAAGGACCACAGTCCAATCGACTTCAAAATATGGATGACGTCACGCTTGAATTCATTCAGAAATACTCAATTTTTCTCTACTACTCGGTAATGCGAGGACCGCTGTGGGGATCAGGCTACGCCAAAAGATCATGCATTTCGATCAGAGAATGCGACCGTACTCAGGTCAAAGTTAGCAGCGGTCCCAGTCCATGCCACGCATAGCACCTGTCGCCGCCTTCCGACAGCGATGTTATATATAGTGCTGTATAAGTAGGTCTTACCGCTA